TTTGTTGTCCTGCATGATTCTATGTATAATTCTAATTTTTATGTTTTGATATTCATTTCATCCTTTTTTTATCATGTTTTAGACAGTCTTTGACAATATGACCTTCTTGGTAATACAAATAACATGTTCTAGACTTATTATTGTGTGGTTAATTGTGTTTTTTATTCAAATTCATCACAGTTTCAGTTACAAGATTCTTAACTATATTCTTAACTTCACTTCGATTCAATTTTTCTTGTTCAACCTGATTGATACTAAGTTCTGCTAGTCTATTTACTATACTGTCAATGTCTATATCTGCTTTATTTGGTTGAGCTGTTTCTTCAAGTTCTTGCTCCTATTGAGGTTTTTATTCTTTTTATACTCTCTCATTTTTAATGCTTTTTTCTTTGCCTTATCATAATTCTTAGAACAACACTTTCTATCTTTGATTGGTACAGTTCTTTCAAACCTTGAAAATACCAGTCACATTTCTCATTGGCTCTAAGTTTGTTTTCTACAACTTTAGTATAGGCTTCATACCTATTCGTGTATTCACTTACAGATTCTTTATTACCCTGTTTTAGATATTTCAATTAAACAATCTTTAATTCAGGTTCATTATCTGCTTTTACCTTTTCTATAATTTTTTTTCAGGTTGTCTATGCTTTTTCTGTCTGTACTAATTTTCGTATCCACATTCTTGAACTTTCTGGCATATGCATATATTATCAGAAAATAAATATGGTGCAGAACTACAAAGATCTGCTACTCTGCTAAAAAATGACAAATTTTATGATATCTCGTGAACCAGTGATCAAAACTTGACAATTTTAGTATTATTTGATTTATCTCAATGAGACGGATCAAATGGTATCAATATTGTTGAGTTTTGATCACTAGTTCACAAGATAATTGTATTTAAGTGATTTTTATAAACACCTACATAACTCGCACCCAGTAGTCCAAATTTAATGATTTTGGTACCATTCGATTTCTCTTGCTAAGACAGTTCGAATGGTATCAAAAATGCTAAAATCGAATCATTGGGTGGTAAGATATTCGCAAAAACCTTTTGTGGCACAGTTTTGTGCAAAACTTAAAAAAACAATTTAAAGTTCTGCGCAGAACTGCGCTGCAAAAGTTTTTTGCAAATATCTTGCCACCCAATGATTCGATTTTAACATTTTGATACCATTCAAACCATCTCATTGAGAGGAATTGAATGGTGCCAAAATCGTTAAATTTGGACCACTGGGTGTTGAGTTATGTAAGTATTTATAAAAATCACTTAAATGCAATTATCTCGTAAACCAGTGATCAAAACTTGACGATTTTGGTACTATTCGATCTGTCTCATTAAGACAAATCGAATGATACCAAAATCGTCAAGTTTAGATTACTGGTTCACAAGATATCATAAAATTTGTTATTTTTTGGCAGTGTAGCAGATCTTTGCAGATCTGCACTATATTTATTATTCTGATGATACCCTAAATCAGGTAGTCTCTTTGTCATACTTCTTTGCTTTAGCGTACCTTTTGTAATCAAAAAGAAAATCTTCAATGTCATCAACTTCAGCACCTTTGTATACTAGTATTGTTGTATTTTGACTATCTATTATATTATATACTTTATTTATCTTTATCAATATTCTTTTATTCGTTATACCAATACTTTTATCTATTTTTGGTCTTTATCCTTTTTAATCTCAACCTCAACACCTTTGTATATTGCAATATTACTGATCTTATGTTTGTTATAATGATTTTGCCATACAGCAGTTGTTGTGGTCTTGAATTTGTGATTTTAAATTTATTGTTTTTGTTTTAGAAGCTTTGTTTTACTAACGTTAATCCTTGCGGGTTCATCAAATATGAGAAATAATAGCAATTGCCCAGGTTCTTCTCTGTTGTGGGCTAATAAATATTCATGACAAATAAAGTTATAGCTCAAACATTATTTGGATTTTATTTTACACTTTAAATACACGTTAGTACTTTCTCTTCTCTTTCACACATTCACATCTGCTAATATCTTATAAGTTATTTTGACCACATTCTACTCAAATTAGGGACCATATCTTCTTTACTCTAGTTCAGGTTATATATACTAGAAATTTGAAAAGTTGGTTCGATCTATAAAATTGAACCTCATATTTATTAATTTTATTATATATAATTATGTAATAAACTATACATAATAGACTATTTTTTACAGACTTTACATTGTTAGATATGCTTTTGATTATGCACATCCTATTGCATAATATTACACTAACTACAATTTATAATTTATTCTATTATTAATGTCCTAGCACTAGTTGCATATGCAACTAATTAATTTCTGTCAATAGTATTATACAACACAACAACAAAATAGAAACTGATATAGCTTTAACAAACTCTGCACAATATGAAGTTCTAAATATACTTATATATAGTCAAATAGCTAAAAAATTTGAGTAACAATACAATACAAATAGATGAAGACCCAACTCAGTAATGGCTAAAATATATATACAAGGAATTGACAAAAGAAATCATTTAACTATTTAATACCAAAATATGTATTATAACAAAATAATTACTAGTTTCTAATCTAATATAAAACTTCAAAAATTTATAAAATACAAAATGGCAACTAAATCTACTAACAAATATATCTTTTCTAACATACTTGCTAAATTTAAATATCTAAACTATATATTTTTCTTTACTTTTACCAGAACCAAAAGATTTATATTATAGCACTAGAGCTATTTTACAATATACTGCAAAACTACAAAAAGACAAATCAGATCACACTAACCAGTAGAGAAACAAGAGATATTATTCACCAGAAACTCTAACAAAAAATCTTTTTAGATTATATAAGAAATATAAACTTTAATATATATATTCCTAGATAGATTATATAACTAGAAAATCTTACAAAGGTTTTACCAAAGATACAACATTCAACAAATATAATGAAGTTCAAAAAATAGTGCAAAAGTTTTTTTTGAAAAGCTACAACAGCTATCTAATCACTTAAACAATATCTTAGAATATATACAACAAATATTACTCTTTACCTTAGCTATAAACAACAAGATATATACAAAAGCTATTATTATAGTATTTTATTGCTACTAGTTTGTTTAGCTTTTAGAAGAATATTTTACAAACCTTAACCCTTTTCTACCAATATAACTAACTTCTATCTAGTAACAAAAGATCTATTTCTAATAACTAATATAAAACACCTAAGAGATCTAAAATACTATAAAAAATAACTAAGCCTATACTATGAATTCACAAAAATCTTACCTAATACTTTGAACTGCTACTACTAAAGACTTACTCTTGGCATATAAAAATCTTAGCTTTAAGTATAGAAAATACTTTCTAATTGATCCAAATAATGTTCACAGTAATATGTATAAAATCTTTGAAGAACTATAAGAAAAATACATATTTAAAAACCTACTTAATAACTACTACCAAGACCAAGCAAAACAACACCTGCTCAAGGATCTCAACAAAATTAAAACTATAAAGAAATATACATATCTGATTACGAACAAATAAAAAGCTATCAACTTTATTCACAAGATTAATTTTATCTACAACTTTAACTAGCTTCTACCTTCTAAAATAATAATAGCCAATTTACTAAAAAATCTAACCTTTTAGATGACTCACAACTAATTACAAAATATAGTATACTAACTCTCATTATATCTACCAAAAACTTTAATAGAGATAGCTAGGCTACTAAAAAAATATACTACATCTACTATATCCTTAATTCATAAATAAAGATTTATACTAATATAGTAAAAAATAATAAGTATGCAGAAGCCCCAATATTATAACCCATTATACCAAATAAAATCAAAGAAATCTTTACTTATCTAAAAAATAATAATATCAATATAGTATAGTTATTGTTTTCTATTACAAACTAATAAATTGTATCTGAAACTCTCAGTATTCTATATAAGCACTTTATAATTAAATCTAGCTCTATTCTAGCATTCTACCTCCCTCTGAGCCTACCTGAAGAATATTCTTCTAACAATAATAGTCTTGCCCAACAACTTAAAAACTCAACTTGAAGCAATATTTATACAATCTAATACAACTACAACCTATATAACAATAAATACTAATATTACTATATACAAACAAGATATTGCTCTACCTATTCATAACAAAATATTAATAGCTATATACAAAATACAAAGCCTAAATACTAGACTAAAAACTTAACTTTGGCTCAAGTACTGCAATACACAACAATATCATCTAATTAGTATAACTAAAACAAAATTAGCAAAATTTATATATAATAGCTTACAAACAAAAAACTCTTACTACTATATTTATATAGCAAACTACGATACTACAATAGCAAAAATACAAGAGGCCAGTATAGATATAGGATAGCTATTACCAAACTACTTAGACCCTATATATACAATATTATTATATGCTCTAATATAGCAATCACAATTAATATATTTTTTTAAACTAAAACAAGATCTATATTATTTTAGTATACTTGCTATCAAACAATAAAGATTTTAATTTACATACACAATAAATAGTTATACTATAGATAGAACAAGCTATCAAAAAAGTTACTATATAATAATTCTAAGTGATTTTAACTATAACTATAATAGACATACCAAAAGTATTCAAATTTTTAAACAATACAAATTAACAAACATACAAGCTCTCTTAAATACTTTAAAATTACAATACCAACTTGAAGCAGATAACAAATACAAAGTCAAATCAATAATATATGGTTATCAAATTATTTAATATATATAGTAACTTTTTCTGAACTCTTTTTAGCTAATCTAATCACTGATAAAGTTGAATAAAGTTTTCTATACTATTATCATTTTTATCTATCAAGTCTATTGATTTACTCATTAACTCTTCCATCGAACTATATACTTTTCTCTTTTACAGCTACATATCTTACCTTACAAGATAATATTATCTTGATAGCTATTAACTAAATCAGATAAGCATTACTTTCTTAAATAAGATCACTTGATAGAAGCTTAACTTTTATAAAATCTATATTTAATACTTTAATGCAAAGGGTCTGGCTTGAACAAGTTTATTTGTATATAATTGTTGCTTTTATATTGTGAGTCCCAGGATATTATAATATAATAGCTTTTTGTATAACAATTTATAGATCAAACATATATCATTCTACATATTTTTTGAATTCTAAAAGTATATAGTTTTGCCAATAACACTATATAAATACACTATCTAGACTTGTACTAATGTTAAATAAAAATATACAAATTACAGTCTAAAAGTTCATATAATTTATTAACACAATGCTTAATATATTGATCTACAATATTGCATCTATTTTCTTAATGCATCTATAGCTTAACTAGCTCATACTTAAGGTATTTATCACAAAAAAGCAACTATTTGTTATTATGATATATAACAATACTATCACTCATACCCAACCCTCTACCAATATCTTAAGTCTTAATATAATCTATACTCAGATCTGATATGACAAATACACTGTATACTAGCAACAAACATGTATTATATATAAACTACAAAGAGTTATTTGATATTTCCAAAATACTTAACATATTACAAAATAGTATTCACAAAATAGAATGAAAAGATCTAAACAGAAGCCAAATTTTTTGAAAATAATATATGAATATCTCAACTACTATAACAAACCAACTACAAGATTTACTTACTCTAAACACTTTTAAGTCAAGATCTTTAAACTCAAACTTCTACTTAATAAACTTTTTACACTTCTAAACCTTCATACTTGCAATCTAAAAAATATTCTAGTTTAAAGTATTCAAGATATATACTAACCACAGAAACAAATACATATTGAATCTTCTGCTTTGCAAATACCACAATAGCATCTCAAATTATTAAAAAAAGTATAATCAAGATTATATATACTACCAAAATAGGTTTTTAAAAATTCTTATTTCATCTCTATTAGAGCAAATTATAATTTTTATATACAAAAGCAAATCAAATTTAGGTAGTTATATTTTTTATAATTTCATCTCTTCAAAAAAATATTAAAAATTTTATCTATTAAGTAAAATAGATCAAAAACAATTTTATTTTCAAATTTTAATTTCAGATTTTAGACTTCAAAATAATTTTGTTAGCATATATAATCAAAATATATGCTAAAACACAAACTCTCAAAGAAACAGAAGCACAAATACTAAATATATCCAAATACCAACTACAACTACTTATAATAACAACTTTCAGAGTCTCTAATAGAAATTATTTCTGAAATCTTAGCAACTACAACTAACTGTCTACTAAAAGAAAAATATACTCCTACAGTATTGATACTATACAAAATAAACAAAGCATTCTACAACAAGATCTAAGTATCAAGATATCAAAAAATAGCAAACTATATTATAACTAACACCCAACTGCAAGATACTTACATACAAATATAGATAAAAAAGTAATAACTACAAAAG